GCGCTTCAAGTATGGAACAATCTCGAGACTCTCTTTCGTGACAACAAAGATGCCAAATCCATGCAAATCGATAGCGAGCTACGCAACATTGTGATGGGCGATCTCTCTGTCACCGCTTATTGCACCAAAATCAAGGGACTTGTTGATCTTCTTGCGAATCTCAATCCGGACTCCACAATACCCAACAAACACCTTGTGATCTGCACAATCAACGGACTCTCCTCGAAGTTCGATTCGGTGGCCAATATCATAAGGTACCGTTCTCCTCTTCCAACTTTTTTTGAAGCTCGTTCCATGTTTCTTTTGGAAGAACAAAGAATGGCTCAAATACGCCCAACACCCGTTATGCCTCACACCGACCATTCCTCATTGTCCACCGTCCTCCACGTGAAAAATAACGGAGGAAATCGTGGGAATGGCCGTCGGAACGACCGCCACTAGTAGCAAGGTCGCCGCCGATAGCCGCCGAATCAGCCACGCTATGGTTGGATGTACATCCTGCCACCGCCGCCGAGTCAGTCAAACCAGCCCCGCCAACAACAGCTACCACACGCCTACTGGCAGCAGCCAACTACTGGGTTGCTCGATCCACTGCATGCTGCCCCGTCGCCACAACCGGCCCACCACAACCGACCCGCTTAACCGTGGCAAGCGCCACCGCCATACAGCCCGGCGGTCTAAGTTTCTGCAGCTACGGACAGCAGCCAATCGACTGCCGCCGCCACTCCCCCGTGGACTTGGGCCCCACCGGATCAAGCTACGTCTCTCCCGGAGTTGTTCAACTTGATGTCTCTAAACGACCCGGGCTTCACAGATTGGTACATGGACACCGGGGCAACCGACCACGTCCACGCAAACTCAGGTATTCTAAAATCTGTTCTTGAAACTCATGATACTCGTTCTATCCTTGTCGGTAATGGATCCAAAATGCCTGTAAAGCACACCGGACATGCCCCTTTTTCCCATCACAAACCCGTACCGTCCTTTGCATCTTAGACATATCCTCATATCTCCCACTATTATAAAAAATCTTMTATATGTCCGTCAATTTACTCGTCAAAATAAAACTTCTATTGAGTTTGACAGTTTTGGTTTTACTGTTAAGGACTACAAGACCAAGCGCCCTCTAATCCGATGTGATAGCGACGGTCCCCTCTACCCAGTCAACCCCTCCAACCCACAAGTGCTTCTCTCGACAGCTCACTCCACATGGCATCAACGGCTCGGTCATCCCAACGATCAAGTCTTGAAGTCATTAGTTTCAAATAATTTTATTTCTTGTCATAGTGATAAAACTAGTGTTCTTTGCAATTCTTGTCAACTTGGAAAACATGTTCAGCTTCCGTTTTTCGTTTCTAATTCCGTTGTTTCTCATACTTTTGAAATAATTCACTCCGATGTTTGGACGTCACCCATCTCTAGCATTAGTGGATTGCATTACTATGTTATTTTCTTAGATCACTTTACTCATTACTTGTGGGTTTATCCTCTCAAACATAAGTCTAACGTTTTCAATAAATTTCATGAATTTTTCCATCTTGTTAAAACCCAATTTAACGCAACCATTAATTTTTTTCAATGCGACAACGATGGTGAATATAATAATCAATTATTTCACAACTTTTTTTCCTTCCAAGGTATCCAATTCCGTTTCTCATGTCCTCACACGTCCCAACAAAATGGAAAGTCGGAACATATGCTTCGAACCATCAACAATGTGGTTCGTACCGTCCTTTTCCATGCTCATCTCCCTCCCACCTATTGGGTCGAAGCCCTCAATATGGCTACCCATCTCCTAAATATCCTTCCCTCCACAACCATCAACTTTGAAACCCCTCACTACCAGTTGTTTCAAAAACATCATTCCTACTCTCATCTCCGCATATTTGGCTGTCTTTGCTACCCTCACCTCACCACCTCTCACAAATTAGCCCCTAGGAGCTCTCCTTGTGTCTTCCTTAGCTACCCATCTCATCATAGGGGATTTCGGTGCCTTGACCTCTCCACCAAACGCATCATCATTTCTTGTCACGTCGTCTTTAATGAGACAATTCTTCCGTTTGGCTTGGTCACTCCGACAAACCCCCCTTCTTACTCTTTTCTCGACGATCCATCGGAACCGTCTCCCATTATGCGTGACATTCTTGATCCGCTTCCCGCCCCACCAACCCCTCCTACGGCTGAACCTACCCCCACCAATTCGGCCACCCATCACGCCCCGCCTATCCCACCTACACCTGCCCCTCACTCCCCACCTCACGCCTCGGCCCACATCGATGGCGCCATTCACCCCCTCCCTCTCCTCCGTCGAGTGCGATTCCATCCACTACTCGCTCGTCTCACCCCATGACCACCCGAGCTAAAAGTGGTATCGTTAAACCCACTCAACGACTCAATCTTCATACCACCTCCATCACCCCGTTACCCTGGTCCCATTTACAGGCATTACAGGATCCTCACTGGCGAAAGGCCATGGACGAGGAATATCATGTTCTTCTCGGGAACATGACTTGGAAACTTGTCCCTCGACCCCCCGGGTCAACATGGTTCGGTCCATGTGGCTCTTTCGCCACAAGTTTAATGCAGATGGCTCGCTTTCTCGCTACAAGTCCCGTTTTGTGGCCAATGGTCGCAGTCAGCAGCAGGGGATAGACTGTGATGAAACTTTTAGTCCGGTTGTAAAACCGGCCACCATTCGTACTGTCCTCAGTATTGCGGTCTCTCAACTTTGGCCGATCCATCAGCTAGACGTGAAGAATGCGTTTCTTCACGGTCACCTTTAGGAGACTGTATACATGCATCAGTCACCGGGCTTCCGAGGTCCACGTTTTCCGGATCACGTGTGCCATCTTCAGCACTCTTTGTACGGCCTTAAACAGGCTCCACGTGCGTGGTACCATCGGTTTGCTCAATATGCCCTTCGGCTCGGGTTTCAGCACAGTCACACTGATACGTCACTGTTTATATACCACTCTCCTCCGGCCACTGCGTATCTTCTTCTATATGTTGACGATATCATTTTGACGGCCTCATCCACAGAGTTCCTTCACCAGATCATCACCCTACTTGGTCGTGAGTTTGCTATGACGGATCTCGAGGCACTTAATTTTTTTTTGGGAATTTCTGCTTCGCGATCATCTACAGGTCTATTTCTATCTCAGCAGCAGTATGCCTCTCAGATCCTTGAACGCGCAAACATGGGTAACTGTAATCCGTCGCGCAATCCGGCTGAAACAGGTCATAAGCTTAATGCTGATGGCCCACCCGTTCGTGACCCCACCCTGTACCGTAGCCTTGCCGGAGCTCTTCAGTATCTCACCTTCACACGACCGGATATAGCATTCGCCGTTCAGCAAATCTGCCTCTATATGCATGATCCTCGAGAGCCACATTTTCATGCTCTAAAACTCATACTTCGATACATTCGAGGCACTCTAAACCATGGCCTTCAGATTCATGTATCCCCTTTATCCGAACTTACAGCTAACTCTGATGCAGATTGGGGGGGATGTCCGGCATCTCGACGATCCACGTCCGGATACTGCGTTTTCTTGGGAGATAATCTTGTGTCTTGGTCATCCAAACGTCAAGGTGTTATCTCCCGTTCTAGTGCTAAAGCCGAATATCATGGAGTCGCGAACACCGTCGCTGAAACAAGTTGGATCTGTAACTTACTTCGCGAGCTCCACCGACCGCCCACGAAAGCCACAATCGTCTACTGTGATAATGTCAATGCGGTATACATGTCGTCCAATCCAGTTCAGCACCAACGTACAAAGCATATAGAGATTGATATTCACTTTGTTCGTAACAAAGTTGCTATTGGTCATGTTCGGGTCCTCCATTTCCCCTCGAGCTCTCAGTACGCAGACATCTTCACGAAGGGGCTATCTCATTCTCTATTTTTGGATTTCAAATCCAGTTTGAACGTTCGCAATTCGGACGTTCCAACTGCAGGGGGATGTTAGCAGATCACATTATATATTAGGCTTAGTTTATTAGCCCGTATAGTGTTTGGCCCATGGCCCATATGTTGTATATTTAAATGATTGTATTGTGTTTAATCAATCAAGGAAATCATTCTCTCTAATAGTATGAGTCAGATTTAGAAATCAATATGCTTTTTGAAATGACTTAAGTATGAATTCAAAAGGCATATGCTTGAGTCTGGTTAAGAAAACAATAAGCTTTATGAAATTTCTAAATCTAGATAGTTCAGAAGGTAAATCACTTTCTAAACCAATTAGTTTAGAAGACAAATTTCTAAGTCCAGATAGTTAAATCACTTTCTAAACCAATTAGTTTAGAAGACAAATTTCTAAGTCCAGATAGTTAAATCACTTTCTAAACCAATTAGTTTAGAAGACAAATCACCTTCTTAACTAGTTCAAAAGACAAATCACCTTCATAACTAAGTTAAGAAGACTTGTACAGAAGATGATTCACCTTCTGGACATTAGGGCATATACCACTTTTTTTTGTAGTCCGGAGTCACCGCATTTGAACCTCCATGGCTACAAGGGGATTTTTATTCCTTCTTGTATTTGAATCTGAGACCTCCGGGTACTTTTGACCTTTGGAGTCAAGCTCAAACCAATCATGGACCACCCTTGTGGTGGCATATACCACTTTGTAACCATCCAATAATTGCTCAATTGATTATGGTGATTGATCACTTTAATACATTCATTCTCGACTTCAATGTACAAGATGCCACAATTTGTGTTTGTTTATAAGCTTTTGATTTATGCCTAAATCAAATGTGTGAATTAAGATTATCCTGAACAAATTTCATGTAATTCAGGCGGATTAGGATCAAATTATTGTATAGGGAAAACGATTCTCTATGTGATCTCAAATTCTTGTCGAAGTTCTCTATTGTGATTTCTCAACATACCCGAAATATACCAACAAGAAACATATAACATCCAACAGAAACGCGGAAGGAGGGGATTGGATAAAAATAATAAACCATCAAGTAGAAGCCATAACACCATCTCCAACAATCCTTGCAAAGCTCCTCTATATCAACACAAAGTTTAGGACCGTACAATAAACAATGCAAGAACGCCAACTTGCAGCAATGGCCTAGTCATAATTAACTGTACAAACAATAATTTCAGAGAAGTAATAAATTTTAATGAAAAGAAACGAAAAGCTAAAATTAAAGTCTCAAAGTAAGATCTGGTGTGGCATGGCCATCATAAACTTGTCGGAATCCTTCCATGGTATTCATTTCTGATGTTTCTGCCAGTGAATCAACACCAGCGCCTGTTGCTGCCACCTGACGGAAGCTTCCGGGCCACAGCAGCTGATCATGTCCATCATCCTCCACGTGTATAGCCAATCCCATAAATCCAATTGCATGTCTTGGAGACATGCTGCTAATTACTGGTGGCATCCTCATCACTGGAGGCACGAATGTTTGGTGCTGTGACGAGTGAGCTTTGATTTCAAGAGATCTTAACGAAGTTCCATGCAAAGGAAAAGTTGCAAGCTGGCCAGCATACCTCTCTGAGAAAATACCCATCCTCATTGTTCGCTTTGCCAGCATCCTCTCTCTTTTGTGTGCGTTCTGGTGTCCTCCAAGAGCCTGGGAGCTGAAGAATTTTCTCTGGCAATAGTTGCAAGGAAAAACTCTAGGGAGGGTTCCTGGGGTTGTTTGAGATTCTATTTCATTTGTGCTTTTACTTGTCGTCGATATTGAACTCCCCATAGAATTTCTTGGTTCAAACTTCTCGGTGTTCGAGTTAAAGGATAGACTCAACTCAAGGGAAATAGGATCATAAGTCGTCTGGGATGTTTTCGGTATCTTGAGGCTGTCGGTGACCCGTGATGGGAAGGTATTTTGAACTGATATGTTGGAATCAACCTGGCTGCTGATGTCTGAGTCATCATCTTCTTGGACTTCGAGTTCCAGATCTATGCTTTTTGATAACATCATAGCAAAGAGTAACTTGTTGATAACTTCACAAGTCTTTCAACAGTGGCGCAGTTGACTATTCTGATTAAATCCTTTTACCTGCGTGATTAGCAATGTTCAATCATTTAGTAAAGGTTTTATGTTATGATAATCAATATATAATGAGAATTGTATAACCATCCAACAAATCAAGAACTAAGACACCAGGAAGCTCCATTTCATGGCAAATGAAAGAGACATATACCCAGTTTGCCCAACATATGATGTGATAGTCTTTACTGGAAAGCAATCTATGATGCACCAGCCATACAGATGCATAATGCTCACCCAGATGAGTCCTAGTTAGATTGATTTCTGGTAAGATCATGTTAAAGCCCTTCAAGAACCTTATTTTGTTGGACAATCATACATGCGCTTTATCCCAGAATAGAGAAAGTATACCCCCTTTTTCTATTACTTAGGTTTGATGATAAATGAGTAGCATTTGATCAAAGGTTATTAAGAAAGTATACATTACAGAGAACATATAAATAAGACGATCCATAAGAAATGTGTAAACACATTACAATTTGTAGTAAACTATCTGCCATATCAACATGGCATGTGCTTTTCATACCCAATGTAAGCTTGTCAATAATCATCAACCACATCAACAAGTCCACTGTTGGACATCTTCCAACATATTTCAAATCATTTACTACTGTATCTTACAAATAGGCTTACCTTTACTCTTGCCCCATCATGCCTAATAGGGGCAGGAATTGATCTAGCGGCAGCCATACATAACCAGAATTGATCTGTTTCATGCCAATCACTATAATAAACAAGACCAGCCAAATCTACCAAACTCTTTTTCTCTAAATCTTGTATCCTACATCTTTAACCCAATATTAGTCCATGAGATCCATGAAATGTGCCCCCTCCAAATGGCTCTCACAAACTTTAATCCTTCAGAGTAACGGGAACAAGAGCTTCTAAAAGAATTGATATCACCTCAATGAATTCAAACTTGACACCTAATGCCTTATGAGGCACCAAGTGACCCAGTGGATGCTGCTAACTCTATCAAACTTCATCATGTGAAGTGATTTCACACATAAAGTCTAGATATCTTTCTGGGAATCCCCAACTAAACTTATAGCCACTTCAAATGTTGAATATTGATTTTCTCATGACTTCTCTAATTCGTAGTGAATTTCTGTCATTTTGAAAGTACTAGCTTTCAAATTCAAATCTTTTCATACAACGTAAATCGACACATATCAACTACAGGATCTCAATCATCCGAAACAGATAACCAAAGGTGTTAAGAAGACTATGATATCCTATTTAGAATCATTTCCTGCGCTCCCTTGGCACAGTCAGTAGTTTAAAAGAACGCAAGTGTTAAAGAGATGATAAAGAACATATGTAAAGCAGAATGTAAGAGAACCATACGAGAAAGTTAAGCAAGAAGAGTACTGACCAGTTGCTTTGAGCCAGCTTTGGTGCACTCAGCTCCTTTTACTATGCTACCTAGGACCAAATCATGGTCTTCTCTTCCCCCTGTTCAGAACATACGAAGGTAGAGACGAGAATGCTGAAATTGATGAAAAAAGGTGAGATTTGATGTTTGAAAGTGAAGTAGAGAGTGGAGGTGTGGGGCATTGGTGGGACGTCAAGATGTTCACTCGAAGGCTAAAAAGGAAAACAAAAAGATAAAGAAAGCCCGTATAGATATTAAATATGACACCAAACTTGACTAAAGACGTATAACAATACTTCGAGACACCAAACTTGAATTTGATGAATACTAGGTTTGTATCCACTGATAATAACATATATATATATATATATATATATATATATATTAAGTAATTGAAACAATGTTTCCTGTGCTTGTTGCCCTTCCCGAAGCCCAATAGTTAGCTGCTGCCTCTCACGACTATAAGAAATGGTTTCCTGGATGACACCAGCACAACCAAACAAAACACACCCACTTCATAATATTTATTTACACCAATGGCTAACGTTGGATGAAGCACAGGTATCTAAAAAAGCCATTAATGACCATCTTAGATTCAGAAATATAACTTCATCCAACATTATCCGTGTGCTGGTTTATTATTACTATTTATTACTGTTACTACTTGGTACTTATACACTTCTAAAACATATAACATAACTTCATCATTTTTATGTTACCAGCTTTTTAATAAATTTCACTTTATTGAAATTAATAAAACTGTTGGAGGTAGCAGTGATAGCATATATATATATATATATATATATATATATATATATATGTGTGTGTGTGTGTTTGTGTGTATATATATAGAGAGAGAGTGTTGCATTTGTATAACTAATGCAACCCAATAAATTGAAATATTTATGAAAATGATGGGAGTTTATTTATTATGATTTGAATATTTATGGAAGATGAATAAGATTCATTAATTATGATCAATACTTTATATTAGAAAACATTCAAAACTTCTATGAAATCACATATTAATCAAATGAAATGGACGGTTGAGATTGGGTTGTATTGGTTGCACAAATGTCATGGGTTGTATAATAACCAACCCCTCTCTCTCTCTACATATATATATATGTTTCATAAGCCCATCCTCCATATCGAGTGTTTGTGGGAAATAAATAGCTTTTACTATAAGAAAATCAACGTTCTTGTGAAATCACTACAAAAAATAGGTTTTTTTAGTATTATTGAGCATTTTAATCTACAACTTAATATGATTTTAGGTTTATAACATGAAAAATGTATATGATGGCGTTACAAAAAAAATTCAGGACGATCTAATAAGACCCAAAAAGTAAATTTGTCATATCAGCTTAGTTGTATCTTATATACTCTAGAACTTGTTAGGTGGTGTAATTTAATCCTGACAAATTATTGTAACTTCATTTTATATGATGTATCCTGTCAATGAAATTAAGATACATCAGATTTAGTTGCATTTTTAACTTTATTTAATGTATGTTCATGTCTTCTCTCCGATTATGTGTGTATATATATATATCAACATTTTTAATCCAGTTGTTAGTTCTATAAACTTATAGACTCTCGTCAAGTACTTTTTAAAACATCCGATAATCGTGCTACACGTCCTAAAAAAACCAATTTTATAATATTGAATGAAAAACCCGACTTAACATGAACAAATATGACAAGTGTAATTAGTTTTTTTTTAACCTAAAATTCAAACTAGAAAGGTTTAAGCTGTACTTCGATTGACAAAAAAACACTCAGTTCAATAAGGTATTTAATAAAATATATGCAACATACACCTAATATGCACGTGATACAAACCACAAAACCTAAACAAGAAACAAGAAGAAAGTAAAAGTACAAGGTTGGAGTGTGCACGTTCAGGTCGCATGGGTGCCTGTCCAAGACATAGATTCGGCTATCGATGTCCCTAAAGTGCGCTCTAGGAGTAGCATGGTCCCCAAACCGCAAGCAACCCACCATCATCTAACTCACCTTTATTCCTCAACACATATATTATTACATTATTGTAAAAGCTACATCTCAAAAGAGGAGACTCAGTTACACATGACACAGTAGCTTTACATACAATAATGTGAATATACGCACTGCCACAAACGAAAGATAACTTAGTATAATCCCAGGCTTTCAATCAAGTACTTAAGACACATTATTCCACTAAACTTAGTGCTTATCACCTTTAAATATTCGTCACCCTTTTTTGCTTTGACGTTTGCTTTATATGCTTTGGTTAATTAACTATGATGTGGGCATACATGTATCTATGCCATAGGTTGTACCCATGAGTATAAGTTAAGTGAGGATGGTATATGCTTCCCCACACATCTACACCCACGATAATGCTTTTGGCCTTTGAAGTGAGTTTAAGGTCATCAGTGGGACTTTTGTCCAAGCTTTTCAAGAGGTTGGACACTATAAAAAGTGGATAAAAATCTCGGTCTCAAATTTATGCGTCTCGGTTTTGTCCACCAATCATATTAATACACATCTATTAATGAGAATGTGAACTTCAATTAAATAAATTTAAAATATATAAGAAGGTGATGTGTCGTAGTTTTATTAATGAGATAGAGATGAGACGTGGATTTTGAAACAGTAGATTTCATTACAGTGATCCCATCCCCTCCAAATTTATATACCTTCATGTCGAGATTGCAGGGTTGTCAATAATTTTCACAGGGAGATAGTTTGTGCATAAATCAATCACCTCCTCAAAACCATATCCTTCAAGAATAATGACTTCTCGTCAAGATTGGTTTCCTACATACTCATTTAAGAAACACACAGAGACACACACACAAACATATATATATATATATATGTATGTATGTATGTATGTATGTATGTATGTATGTATGTATGTATGTATATGTATGTATGTGTATATGTATGTATGCGTATATATATGTATATGTATGTATGTGTATATATATGTATGTATGTATGTATGTATGCATGCATGTATGCATGCATGTATATGTATGTATATATAAGGAGGGTTAGAATTATATCTCAAGTTGGCAGAGACAGATGAAAATATCCCTTTCCCATGAACGTGACACCTCATGATCAAGTACATTTGAATAATTCATGTTAAAAATAGGCAAAACTTTGCAATAGTGTGTTGTATGTGGTCTGGCAATATTTCATGAAGTGGATACTTTTCCACTAGTTGGCTCGAAGGTGACGAATGCAATGGAAGTCATATGTCACATTAAAACACGAGAATTGTGGATTTCATATCAAGAAATTCCAAGTCTTTCATGGACATCCAAGTACGAATAATGTTAGTATCATTTTCTAAGTCAAACGGTGCCACCATTTGGAAAAAATTCCGTATATTTGTTTCTTATAGTCAAACGTTTCCACCGTTTGAAAAAAAATTTCGTATATTTAATTCTTATAGTCAAACGATGTCATCATTTGAAAAAAAAATTCTATATTTTTTTTCTTATGGTCAAATAGTGTCATCGTTTAAAACAAATTATGAGTCCGTCTTTGGTTCAAGGACCTATATATGTACACATGCTTCCTACAATTTCTAGTTTCCTCACCTTCGAATGGATTAATCTCATTTGAATTAAGGCCCAACCAAATATTTCTAGTTTTCTCACCAAATTCTTCAAAAATGAGGTTGATAGTCCTACATTGAGAATAATCGACCACATGTCTAATTTTATCATCCATTTGATGCTCTTCAGTATGCCAACACAACAAACATGGTCACCCATCTATCATTAATTAAGGAGCCGAATGATTTAATGAAAGTATGTGACTTAGGATGGATTTTAAGATCTTACAAAGAGTGCAGTCTCAAATAATTAAATATATATATATATATATATATATATATAGAGAGGAGTGATCAAATAAAAACCGCCCTCATTTGTGTAAACCGTGCAAACCACCTTCATCTGTCGATTTCATTGTTTAATCTTATGAAATTTTTTCATGAAATTGTTTAATCTTGTGAAATTGTTTCATATAATACTTTTTTTTGATAAAGTTGTTTCATATATGGTTATCAAGTTGTTTCATATATGGTTGTAAAATTGTTTCATATAATACTTAATGAAACTGTTTCATGTATTTCTCTAAAATTAATGAAACTGTTTCATGTATTTCTCTAAAAATTAAAATAATGAAGATGATAATATCTATGATTAACACCCTCCACAATAAAAATGATTAATCAACCTCTCATAATTACAAAAAAATGAACAAAATGAAAAATTATGATTGGTTGAATGAGGTTTGCACGGTTTGTACAAATTGAGTGGTTTGCATTTGATCGCTCCCCTATATATATATATATATATATCACTACTAGAAAACTGGGCATTTCCGGCGGAAATTTCCGCCGGAAATCCGCCGGAAAAATTAAACTGGTTGCTTTTCCGTCGGATTTCCGGCGGATTGTTAATTAATTGTTAATTAATCTTTAAAAAATAATTAATAACTGAAAAAAAATTTAAAAGGATAAATTCCGGCGGATTATTTAAAAAAAAAATTAAAAAAAATTCTTTAAAATTAAATCCGCCGGAAAATATTTTAGAAATTTTTTTTTTGAAAAATCAAAAACCCTTTTAATCTTTTCCGACGGATTTCCGGCGGAAAAGTAAATATTTTTTTAAAAAAAAAAAAATTCCGGCGGATTTCCGGCGGCATTTTGAATTATTTTTAAATTTTTTATTAAAAAAGAKTAAACATTTTDCCGGCGGATTTCCGGCGGAAAAATAAATAATTTTTTTAAAAAATTTAACATTTCCGGCGGATTTCCGGCGGATTTTTATTTTTTTATTTTTTTATTAAAAAAAGAGTAAACATTTTTTCGGCGGATTTCCGGCGGAAAAATAAATAATTTTTTAAAAATACTTTAATATTACCGTCGGATTTCCGGCGGAAAATTAAAAAAATTATTTAAAAAAGAAATAAACAAATTTTCCGGCGGATTTCCGGCGGATAATTAAAAAATTTATTTAAAAGAGAAATAAATAATTTTTTTAAATAAAATATAAACAATTTTCCGGCGGATTTCCGGCGGATAATTAAATAATGGACCG